GTAAGGTCAGAGGAGGGAGGGAGCAATTGGGGGAATCATTTTATGAACTATATAGATGTCTAACCAATGTACAGTATACTTGAAACTAATTAAAATTTAAAAAAATAAAAAATAAATAAAAGAGAGTTTCTAGATAACAAGGAGTAAAAAGCATATTCCACCCTGTTTCTCTCACTGAATGCAACTGAAAACCTGAATACAATGCATGCAGCTGATAGTGAAGGACTTTGAAAAGTAAAGGGAGGCAGGTGGGCTGGGGAATTAAAAATACTAGGGAACCGACAGTGAGTTTACCACTTTTTTCTCTCTGGTACTACCCTTTTCCACCTGAACTCCACCTGGGTGGGCATTAGCAAGATAGTATACCTGAAACTAAGACAATCAGAGCAGCTGGAGATACCCTCTAGTTCTGGCTAAAAGACCAGGACCAAGGTCTCCTAATACTAAAAAGGAATACAAAATCCAAGTTTCTGTTTTTTTCATTTTCTCCATTCTTTCACATCCAGCCCTCAAACAATCCTGTGGTGGTGGCAATGGCGGTGACAGGAGCCTAACATTTAGGAGAAGAGGCTTCTCAGCCGTTTGTAGAAGTTGTAGTTCCCAGAGAGTGAAGCAAATGGCCCTTGCTGTATTTCTCTCTGTCCTCCCACCTTGGCCCTGATGCTGGGAAAATAAAGTCCAGCTTTCTGGCTGGAGGAATGGAACAGAGAAGTCCATAAGAACTAGAAAGTATGAGGGAAATTACAGAAAAGAAGAAACTCAGGAAAGTAACTTCTTAAAGTTATTATGAACTTGTGGGCCCATCCTCAAGATGTGTAAATGTGGATAATATGACTCTAAATACTCCCTATAAAATATGAAGAAACAACGGTAGCATATAATCCGGATGAAAGTCAGAGGCCAATAAAAGAGAGAAATGGAACTAGCAGGTAAACACTTGTGTACAGATAATACATATATGGTGGAAAAAAGGACCAAGAAAAGTATTTAACACTTGATCACATTTAAATAGTGGGAAGAGAATGCTTCTCAGCATGGGTTTAGATCATTTGCTCTTTGGCCTTCTGAGTGCTGATGATTAGCTGTCATCATTATACACACACATTTCCCCTTCAATCTTCTCTGTATGCTAATGTCAGACTGAAGATGGTCATCACTTAGATTATCACTTCCACCCACTCAAACAAGCAAGGACAAACTGTGTAATTTCAGAGTTTGTGAACATTGAAAAGGTATTCAATCTTACTAGTAATCAACTAAATGCAAATTAAGACATTTTATTTTGCCTGTAAAAATTAACAGATTTTAAAAAGAATTCAGTGCTGGTGAAGATGGGTAAGACAGACAGTCTCATTCACAACTAGTGTTAAGTACAAATTGATAGTATCATTTTGAAAAGGGAATTTTGCATACCAAGACAGTTAAAAATATGTATATACTTTACCCCAGAAATTCTGTCTAGGATTTTACCCTAAAAAAATAATGTGAGGAATTGAAAAAGCTCTATGCATAATGACATTCATTGTTTTTCAGAATCATGAAAAACTGAAAACAAATGTCCAACATAAGAGAAATTAGGAGAAGTAAATTATAAGACACCCATTGAGTCAAATAGTATGTAACTGTTAGACATATTTTCTAAGGCTTTATGATATGGAAAAATGCTTACATCAAAGAAAAAACATATATTGATGATTATACATTTTATTTTAACCATGTTAAAAAGAAATACTAGAAAGAAATGCTAGAAGGAAAATTTATAGAAATAAATACTAGAAGGAAACAGATTTCAATATTCGCAACGTTAATATTTATTTATTTGAGAATGACTCTGAAGGTCCATGACTTGTAATAATTTGTCATTTTTTGGAGGCATGAATCTGAAACATGTGCCGGGTAGCTGAAATTCAAAAGTGAGTCACTTAACTAGTGAGCTAGGGCAGCAGAGGCTGGGAAAGTTGGGCCTGCATCTTTCCTGCACAACCTCCCCTCCGCTTATTTCCCAAGGAGAGAATCAGCGCTACTGGAGAGGTGGTAAAGGAATGGATGGTTACCGATTTAGAAGTAGGAACAGAGCCAGTCACCAATAAGTTTAAACCAGCATCTGAAGGTGGCTTGACTGTTCTGTACTCAAGGATGAAAATATGCATTTTTAAGTTACATATTATTTTATGGGGACAAATATATTCTATAATGCTGTTTGTGAATGAGGGAATCCCAAAGGTCTTAGGATATATCCCTTTGGAATGTCATATATGCACCGCAAATCAAAATGTTAAACTGTGATTGTATAACTGAAACTAAGACAATATTGTATGTTAGCTATATCGTAATAAAAATATTTTTAAAAAACCATTTAGATTGTGATATAATATGAAAACATTTGTTTTCCATTTATACCTTTTTGTATTTTTCAAATGTTCCACAATGAGGTGGAAAAAAACTAAAAAGTAATTTAGTTCTAGAATATAAGAACTTTTTCTTTACTAGGCCAAATAAGATATCCGACAGAAAAAAACCCAATCATAAAAAGAACGTGGTGGAAAGCAAAGCTCTGTCTCTCATGCTCACCTTATAGCACCTGTATTTATATAGAGCGACCAGGAGAATAGTCATAACAACAATGACGCTGATCATGATAGCAGCATTCAGAATGGAGTGCAGGGCTCTCTGGCCCACAGTCTCGGTGTCTTCTGTGAATGGGGTATAGATTCTACAATAAAACAGAACACAAAAGCCCCAGTAAGTGCTGATGGATAGATATCCCAAACCACATACCCTATCTAACCACACAGTTTAGTTTCCTGATTTAACTGATACCTTATGTCACTTTTCTCCATCTCGTCAATCTAGCCAAGAAATTTTGCCCTAAGAAAAATAGCTATCCTCTAAAATAAGTGCTTCAAAATAAAAGGAGATATCTAAAATATGGAGAGGTGGACTTGTGAGCTATTAATGCTGCAATAATTACCTCATCAAATGTTCTTTCTCCACAGCTTGTGATTTGCTAAAGAACCGGATTCTGCCATGTAAACTACCCAGGCTACAAGTGGTTGTCAGAGCAAGGTAATATGGCTTATAATTATTATTTTTCATCTTTAGGGTGATTGCAACTGGAATTGCTTGAGATAAAGTCACATGCCCATTTTCTCCTTGTTTCTCATTCACATAAAAACACTTTTACTCTAGGTGCCAATGTTTCCAGCTAAAAGACTTTACTTCTGATTCCGTTATAGTCAGGTGTGGCTGTGAGACTAAGTAATTGCCAATGAGTTATAAGTAAATAACTTGTGTAGAACTTCTAAGAAAGAAGTTAATTCTGCTAAGAGATGTCTTATGTCCTTTCCTCCCAGACTCTTTCCTGCTTCCTGCTGTCTAAATGAAGGCTGGAGCTCTAGTACCCATAATAACCTGGAATATAGACTCTGAAATAACCTAGAGTACAGAAGTTAAAAATAAAAGGAGTCTGAGTCCTTGATGAATGTGAAGCCACTATACCAATCTGGACTATCTCTGCACTATTCTGTGGGAAAGAGATAAAAAACATATCATTTAAACCAGTAATGTTTTGACTTTTTAGTAATAGAGTCAGCAAACTTTCTGTAACGAACTAGAGAGTAAATATTTTAAGCTTTGTGGGTCATATGGTCTTTGTTGCAATCATGCAACTCTGCCATTATAGCATGAAAGCAGACATAGACAATAGGTAAATGAATGGACGTGGTTGTGTTCCAATAAAACCTCATTTACAAAAATATGTGACAGGCAGATCTGACCTACGAGCTATAGCTTGCTAACTCTGTTCTATAACACATAACCAAACCTAACTCTAACTCCTACAGAGAATATTCCTCAATCTCTTGGCTATTGTCTGTAACCCCTGCTCTTCAATCATTGTCTTAGCCTTTCTCCTAAAGGTTAAAAGCTTGGTTTTCAGAACTCTACACAGTTTTTCAGACACTTGCCAATTCCAAATTCTAAAATTCACTTAGAGCTTGTTTGAACCCAAGAGTCCTAGAGACAGAACTAGGTGACATATGAATCAAAGCATTTTTCTTGGAGGCAAAGGGCTGACACCAGCACATCAGAGAATCTACATGACAGTTCCCCCAAGAATCTAGAGAGTACCAACTTGTATTAATTCTTCATCCTTTCAATTAACGACTTTTTTTGGCTGAGCATTTATTACATACCTCGCCCTGGAAACAAAGTATGCTGATAGGACTTATAGTATATAAGGAAACCAAGTATTAAATAAATAATGTAAATAAATATATGTATTTCCTTATTGTTACAAGTGAAAAAGAACAGGTTGCTATGAGAAAGAATACCAGAAAGTACCTAATTCTGCTGGGAGAATCATGGAAGTTATCTGTAGACTTAACATTTAAGCCAAAGTGAGAAGAATGATAGGAATTAATCTACCTAAGTTAGCAAAGGAAAGAACATTCCAGGCAAAGAACAATGGTACCACTGGCCCTGCCAGTGGGAAAGATTACTATTCAAGCCTTTACCTGCTCAATTCCAAATAAATTCAGCCCTTGGTGACACCATACAGGAAATATAATTTTGTAGCTTTAATTTTCTCTACTTAAAGTAGTAAGTAATAAATAACCCCTCACTCTCTCAGCTTCTGACTGGAAGAATTCTCTTGCCTTCATGCCCCTTGAGGTGATGCATCTGAAGTGGTGATAACATGCTATGAAGAAAAGCTACAGTGGCCTTGAGAATAAAGCAACACTCATACATACAGCTGCCCATCCTTTCGGGTATAAAAGCTGACTGATTTGATTGTAGCCACCACTACCACCATACAGAGAGTCACGGGGACAAAGAGCATGATAACATGTTTGGCGCCATATTTCAGTGTCAGCTCCTCATCCTCTTCATCATCCTGCTCCACCACCTGCAGTGCGTTACCCTGGGGTCCGCCATTAGATAATGGCTCAGGGTTGCCACGCCTCCGCCTTTCGCTGCTGTGCTCACGCCGCTCTCTACTGTCATTCTGAAAGCATAAGAAAAACTTTTTCAACAAGTCAGACTCTCAAGAGAATCAAGGTATTTTGTATCAAAAACAGAAAATGTAACAGTTGGACCTGAGATTATCGATAGGCTCATCACTACTTAAGTTCTAAAAATCTAAGGCAAGAAAGAACCAATTTACTAGAAGTGTACAGCTAAGAAGTCTAGATTATTTACCACTGTTCACTGAAGGACCCCAGGTCCTCCCTCTCACCTAGGTCTTGGCTTTCCTCATTCTCCACTTCCATTCCCAGCCTAATGCAGGGTACACTCATCCTTCGAGGTTTGACTTAACGCTGACACCTGCACGAGTAATTACACCTATTCCAAATTAATGTTTTCTATCTGTGGTTTTATACCAGTGATACAAGAAACTATCTCACTTTCATTATTAAAGACTTAAAATCTTACTGATGTAGAAGGGATATCTCTGTATTATTTTGCACAATTGCATATAAATCTACAATTATCTCAAAAAAGTATTCAATTAAAAAAAAAAACCTTTATGGAGAGAAACTAGGCCTTGAATGATTCTTACATCCCTGCCCCATTCCCACTGTACTCTGTACAGAGTTAGGGGACAATAATACTTGATGGATGATGGAATGAAATGAGAACCTTTCTTAGATTCTACTTTCCTCAGACTCTTAATCCGAACACCACATTATTACCTGTATCCTTATCCTGGGTTTCACCTTTCCTATTCTTCAAGCTTAATATCTTTTTGGGTATCCCTGTTCATATCTAAAATTCAGTTTTTGCAAAGGATAGAATGAATCCCAGGAGCACTAACAACAATAAAAATAATAGTTAACAGGAAAAATAACAGGTACTCCTCCTCACAGATAATAGAACACAGGAGATAAAAGTCGACTGACAGTCACTGTCGCTGGTAAGATGTAATCGGCTTGGTTAAGAAAGGGTTCTCTTGGGAAGATAATGTGAGAATATGCCACTCTTGTACCTCAGTTTTGACTACAGAATATAACTAAGTATTACTATAGAGTATTACTGCTGAAGTTCATTAAAAACATATTACGTACTTAATAGCTTATAAATGATTACAATATACAAGGGATTAATACGTACTTTACATTTAATTCTCACAGCCACCCCATCATCCCCACTATAAGGTTAAGTAAACAGCCACAGCCAGCAAGTGTTATAGAGTGGGTTTGAACCCGGGTGTGCCTGATTGCAGAAATCAAGTTCTTAAACATCTTAATTTGCTGTTCACAAGACAACATGGGAGCTCTGCGGACTCAGTGTGGGCTGAGTTCTCTTTCACTTCCCTTTCAATATAATCATCCCACAGGAAGCTGTCAAAATTCTATATCCCAAGTACTCTTCTGTGGTAATACCAAGGTTAATAAGATCTAGATGCTGTCCTTAAGGAGTTCAAAAATTAGTTTTAATACAGAATGAATATATTAGAGATATGAATAAAGTGCTACGGGACTATAATTCTGTGTGGTCAAGAAATGTAACACAAAAGGTACAATTCTTGAGCAGAACCTTTAAGAGTGAGTGGAAGGTGAATGGGCTCCAAGCAGAGATGCCATGAACAGTGACACAGGTGTAAACGTGAAGCATAAGGCATATGCAGAAAACCAGAAAGTACACTTGAGGGGGCTGGAGAATATGGTTAGTCAGGGCTGGTGGTAGAAAAGGTGATTAGGAGCAGGTTCTAAAGAAACTTGTTTGTCAAGCCAAGGACTTTAGACTTTGTCCTGTAGGCAACAGAATGTCATAAAAATTGTCAAGGTTGATGAAGTGACACATTAGGTTATGTTTCATTTTTAAGAAACTTGACTGAGTGGCGATGAAAATAGATGTATGAGATATTTCAGAAGCAGAATTGACAGGACTTTGTGGCAAATTACATGTAATGGTCAGGAAGAAGTCAAGGACGACTCCAGGTTTCCAGAATAAGAGACTAGGAAGGATGATGGCATTGATAGAGATAGGGAACACAAGAAGAAGAGCAGGCTGGAGGAGAGGAGAGATATTTTCATTAGGGAGATAAATAGGTGAATTTCAAGTACCTGCAACCAGGCAGGAAATTCCAAAGGCAGTTGATAAGAATTTCAAGTTCAGAAGAGAGCTGGGGGAAATTATTAGTTGCTACTGCTATGGAAATGGATGAAATCTTAGGGAGAGAGTAGAGAAGGGAAGTAGGAATAGTATGAACTTGTTGGTCATTAATATACTACAACAGCTGTGAAAGGAAAAATACAGAGTGAGATGATGAAGTGTGACTAACCCTCTAAGCTTAAGCAGCAGGTGACAGAAGAAAACCCAGCAAACGGGATTAAGAATAGGGGAGAGGGAAGAAAACCCAGGAATCAGTGTATCACAGAAGCCAAAGGAGAAGCACATTTCAAAAAGGTATCATCACAGTCAAGCAGAATGAGAGCCGAAAAGTCAGTGAATCTGACAGTGGGACGTTCACCAAACTCTTTAGACAAGTAAAACAGGAGGGAAGTTAGATCATAAAGCGTAATGAACTGAGAAATGAATGGAAATTGAGAAATTAAAGGCAATCGCTGTTTGAAGAAAAAAATCATATGACAGTAGAAGGGATTCAAATTGGAAAAAGTTATTTTAGGGATGTTAGAGTCTTGAGCATACTTTTCAGGTCGAAGTACAGAGTTAGGATTAGAGGAAGAGACTGACATACAAGACAGTGAGATAACTAATGGAACAGGGGAGGGGATAAATGGAGGAGAACAAAAGAAGAGAGAAGAGTTGGCCTTACAAAGGCACTGCTGCTCTCTACCTCAGACTGGAGGTCAGGAAGTGCCTCTTTGACCTCACAGAGAAAATATTTATGAAGACTCACACTCTTTGAGGAATGGAAAGGAAACTAACTACTCCAAATCACAAAAGGTAGAAATATGTACACCAGTCACCAAGAAAAATAATTTTTGCTGAACACAAGTCACTAGAGTGGCCAAAGTCCAGCAGGAAGGAAATGGTTATGAGGAAGGTGGGATCTGGAGAGCAGAGGCATAGTGTCACAGATAGCTGAGGGGCAGGAGAGTTGAGGACATTCATCCTTCTATTTTCTTGGGAGGAGGTGACTAAGCCATATGCTAAGAGTGTTATGTTTGCAGCTAATGCTCAGTCAGCAATACAATTATGACCGACTTAATGGGTTGATTTTCAAAATAAACTAAAAGTAATAGCTCTCTTTATATAATACTTGATAGTTTACAAAGCATTCTTACATTATCTCATTTATTCTTTTCACATGTTGAAAGGTTCTGGTAGATGAACATGAAAGCAACTTGTCCAAAATCTCACAGCCAGAAAACAGCAGAGAGGCAGGAAATGAATTCAAGTCTCTTGCTTCAAAACCTGTGTTCTTTCTATGACACCACAGCTGTCCTATTAAGCTACAAGAACAGTTTAATTGGGTATATCTAGCATGAAAGAGGCAATCATAATACGCACATCCACATTACTCAGCTGGATGTTCTGGTTTATAATGAACATTAGCCAACTCCACCCTGAATTCCCCACAAAGCTGATATGGGATACTAGAGCACTGTTTCTCTCTCTCTCTCTCTCTCTCATACATGCACGCACACACCCTTCTTTTTTTTTATAGTACTTTGAATACTATTTTTAAAACTATGTTTCCTTTTTTTAACTGTAATTTATTAAACAGGTAAAACATTCATATGGTTCTAAAGTGAGAGTATAAAACAGTGTACAGTAAAGTCTCTCACTGAACTATCTATCTACTTAGTTTCCTTATCTCCCAGATTACCTCATTGTTCTCTGCAAATCCTACCAAATTTCATAATGTACATACAAGCAAATACAAATACATATTCTCATTCTCCCTTTTCACACAAATGTCCTGCACTTTGCTTTCTTTGCTCAACTGTATCTTAGAGATTTTTTATACATCACTACACAAAGAACATTCATATTCTTAAAAAAAAAAATTAACCAACTACATAGTCAGTGTATACCCTAATTCATTAGGCCAATCCCCTAACGATGGACATTTAACTTGCTTCCAACTTTTTGTCATTACAAACACAGCTGCAATGAATGCCCCTATTAAGTTTTTTCACATCCATGGTGGCATATTTGTAGGACAAAGTGTCTGAAGTAATTGCTGGGTCAAAGTATTGATGCATTTGAGATTCTGATATATATTGCCAAACTCTCCCTATGGGTTATACCAATTTAAAGACTCAGGGACTCAGTAACATAGCAGAGTGCCTATTTCAACAAGCCCTTGTCAACACAGTAAGCTATGAAATGCTACTGAAATGTACATAGTTAAAAAAGATTTTATTAAGACCTAAATAAATGTAGAGATATACTGTTCATAGACTGAAAGACTCAGTATTACGAAGGTGCCAATTCTATCAAACCCATCGCACCCTGAACTGATCCATAGATTGAATGTAATCTCAATCAAAATTCTAGCAGGCTTTTTTTTTTTGTAGAAATAATTGTAAAATTCATATGGAAAAACAAAAGACTTAAGATATCCAAAAACAACTTCAAAAATTGAAGAACTAATGCTACTTGATTTTAAGACTTCTTATAGAGTTGGAGTAACCAAGAAAATGTAGTATAGGCACAAAGATGGACAAAAAAGGTGCAAAGGCAGTTCAATGGAGAAAGGACAATCTCTGTCAACAAATGCTGCTGAAACAACTGGATATCTAAATGGAGAAAAATATACTTTGATCCATACTTCATACCACATGCCAAAACTTACACTCACTACACAGACCTAAATGTAAAACTTAAAACTATAGTTTCCAGAAAATGTAAGAAAAAACTTTTGAGAACTTAAGTTTAGGCAATGACTTCTTAGATATCAAAAACAAACAAACAAACAAACAAACAAAACTCCACAAGAGAAAAAATTGATAAAAGGGACTTCAATATCTAAAATGATCTATTTCTGCTCTTCCAAAATCACTGTTAACAAAAAGACAAGCCACAGAGTGG